TGGGCCTAAAATTTGCGAGAATGGAGGGGTCGAGATTTTTCTTTTTAAGGAGTGGCTTAACCACGGCATGTTTGAAGGCAGCTGGGACACATCCTGAGCTAAGAAAGGTGTTTAAAAGTAATAAAATACTTGCTCCAACTGAATCAAAAACATCTCTGAGAAGGCGAGAGGGAATGCTGTCTGAGGTGCAGTTTGTCGGCCGCAGGTGCTTGACTACATCCGAGAGAGAAGAGAGGGATACAGGCTCAAAGTGGTCGAGGACAGCAGGGCACAGAAAAGGAGCAGGATCTGGGGTAGCACTAGTGTGGGCTAGCCTAAGAGCAGATACTTTTTCAATAAAAAATGTAAGAAACTTATCACAGAGAGTAGTCGATGGGACAATAGAAGAAACATCACAGGGATTAATGATAGAGTTGAGGACATTAAAAAGAACCTGAGGTTTATGGCTGTTTTTGGAGATGAACAGAGAAATGTGCTCTGTTTTGGCTGCTTTGACTGCCGTCTGGTAGTCAGAAAGGCAAGCACGAAGGATTTCTAGGGAGACATGGAGTTTATCCTTTTTCCATTTTCTCTCTGCACGTCTGCAAGCGCGTCTGAGAGCACGAGTACAGTCATTGAGCCACGGCTCTGATAGAACTTTGGTGCGTCTAAGCGTAAAAGGAGCAACAGAATCCAGTATTAGTGTGCATGTCGAGTCAAACATGGAGATAAGCTCATCAGCATTAAAAGCACAGTTCACATCTAATTTACAGATCGGAGAAGCATTAAAAACATCAGAGAACTGTGAGGCAGTCAAGGGGTTAATCGAACGCAGACGACGCGCAGGGGCACGTGATTCGACTCCTGCGGAAGGGATGGTGGTTGTAAACAGAACCGGTAAATGGTCTGAGATACGCGTTGCTGCACATATTTCATCCACAGATACAGACAGTCCAAACGATAATACTAAGTCCAAAGTGTGTCCTTTTTCGTGTGTTGGGCCAGCCACGGACTGAACAAGACCAAAAGAATCAAGGAGATTTAAAAAGTCCCTAACCAGAGGTTTGGACTCGCAACACACATGGACATTGAAGTCTCCGGAGATCAAAACACGATCATATTTCACCATGATCCCGGACAGAAAGTCAGAAAAGTCATTTATGAAATCCTTATTGCACTTTGGTGGACGATACACGACTGCGCAGAGTATAGGCGAGGCCGGGTTCAGTTCAAAAAGCTGCAACTCAAAGCTATCATAGGTAGTTACAGGGTGAAGCAATCGGCATTGGAGGCTAGCTCTAAACACTGATGCTATGCCCCCACCATGGCCGGTGGCACGGGGGGAGCTGAAGAATGTACAGTCAGGAGGAAGAAGTTCAGAGAACGGTGTATACTCGCCAGCGTGAACCCAGGTCTCCGTCAGGAACATAAAATCCAGTTCACGAGAGGTGAAGAAGTCGTTTAGCAGGAACGTTTTGTTTGCTATCGACCTAGCATTTAGCAAAGCCATGCAAAGTTTTCGCTCCGGGCTTGCCGAAGGTGTAGTGCGTCTCAGCTGACGAAGATGTGCGTGTTGAACGCCGCGCGGGCCGGGAGCAGTCAGTCGGGCAGGAGGAGCTGCCAGCGGGCCCAGCAGAGGCCGCAGCTCCGGAAAAACAGGGCGAATCCACCGATCCCTCACATGGCGTGCAGCGGGAGGGCCATGACATCCGAGGCGTGGATAAGTCCCAGGAGAAGCCGTCAGGTATGCCTTAAGATGGACCAGTGCACCACCACGCTTTCCCCGTCGTCTAAAGCGCTTTCGGCGAGGCAGGATGCAGGGCAACCAGCGCAGGTAGGTGGGAATATTCGACAGTAGAGGGGGGGGGGACGATTTATGGTTGCCAGATGTAGGTTTGGGCAGCAATATCAACTCCAGTGAGGGTCTGAGGTGGAGGAGAGCTTGGCGATCGTAAACGAGCAGAGCTGAGACATTCTGACAAACATAAAACAAAAACAGGACAGCTAAAGGTAGAGAGCTGAGGGAGCGGCGAGCCGACAAAGGCGCCATCTTGAATCTGCTGTGTTGCTTTAGAAATGATCAGTTTTTGTCACGTCCCATTACAGAAACACCTTTTGGTCTTCACGTGATCAACAATCTGCATCAATCAGATAATTCTGGAAGAGCCAAGGGTTTGTTTGGCTCAAATATTACTTTGCAGGTGTTTGTTTTAATGACAATGAGAAATAAAAAGGCTGTGATGATTCCAGAAAATATATTGTTGTTGTTTCTCATTAAAGGGAAGGGGAGGGTGAATGGCCACTAGTGGGAGCTGTAGGCTTACAGTTCGTTAGGTCCTAAATAAACTTCAGCTGATAATACTTCTGTACTTTGACCAAGATAACATTTTACATCCAGGACTTTTACTAGTAATGTTTTTTTACTTATTTAGAAGAGTGCCTTTTTCTTGAGTAAAGGATTTGAGTACTTTTGACACCACTTCCTTCTTATCCTATGATAAATGTGTTCTTTATGAAGCAAATGTTTCTGTAGTTTTCTTCAGCTTTGAAAGGTATGGTAAATGTACACCTCCCCATATCAAGCCTGTTAGAAAGACACATTTATTCAAATAATGCTTGAAGGATGCTTGTTCAGCTAACAGAGTCCTTGCTACACTGTGGTGTTGGGACATTACTCTGGCCTGTTTTATCTCTGTATTATGTATATTATCACACACTCTAAAACACTGATTATAGTGTGTTTGCTCTGACCGGTACTTATTTATCAACCACATTCGAGCCGTAACATCATAACCTTTTTCAGGTGAGAAAACACAAAGTGATGGCACCCTAAATCATCATTTGACCTGCAGCAAAGAGAAGTCCCGGGTTGTTATTGCAGCACATATGGAAAGAAAATGTTATCGCCTGTTAAGACTGAAGGGTGGAAATGGTGGGAGCAATTCACCATCTCCTGCTCTAGGACTTCAGCATTGCCGTATTATGTGTTAGTACTTCAGGTTAAAGCATAATTGCTTACTTTGCTTAGCGTCACCAGCTTTATCAACCTCCACTTGCCAAATAAACTGTTTTTCGGCTCTATTTTTGGTCTTTAGGTTCTTTTACTCGCCTGAAGCGGGAAAAGGGGCGGGGCTACATACGTTGAATAACATAACCCTAAATTAAAAAAATCTGAGACAAGAAACAGATTTTGAAGAGATCAACTTTTAATAAAACACAGAATATATTATATATATATATATATATATATATATATATATATATATATATATATATATATATATAAGGCCAGGACAGAATAAACACATTTACCACAGGAGAAATATATGACATTGAAATAAAAACAAATATCAGCTCACACTTAAGGAGCTTCCATTACATGTTACAAGAGAAAATAAATGAAAGATATAACACAAATATGGCATTAAGTTCACTGCCTCAAAAAAATCATAAACAAATACATTCATATATTCCACAAACGGTGAGTATGCAGTACAATCAACATTAGAATTTGGTTTATTGCCAATTAGGTTAATTTGGTGTACAATAGAGTTCCACAGTGACGCGTCCTAAAACCCGGAAGTAAGCTGCGCATGGGTTCCTTCACCAAAAAGCAATGCAATTTCTCCATAGGGTTTTGGAAAATAGCTGGAAATAAGGTCTGTGGTTGACACACATTTAACCTGTTAAGCACCTAGCCTGTTTTTCATGTTTCAGGCTCGAAAATGACATGCCCAAAACAAATGACTACAACTTAACTTCTAAAAGGGTTATATGAATAATTTCTTTTATCAAAGCAAGGTTACATCTGTGAGTTGGATGTAGAAGTGTCCGAATCAATATAAATGTTTTTTATTTTAAAGAAAATTCAGATTTTACATAGTAAAAAACTGTAAATTATAGTGTCCGTCCAAAGATTACTTTTTACAGATAGTGAAAACTACCCTTGGATGATGGGTTAGTAGACTAAAAGCTTTAGGAATCCAAAGTACAACATATATTAAGTACCCTGTATCAAGATTGATGCAAAACAAGTGACATTTGACCTTTTTAGGGAGGTTTAGCCAAAACCACTCCACCTCTGAGGTGATTTGGGTGAAAATGTTTTTTTTTCTATATCTCTGGCCCCCCTTGCTCGATTTTGATGGTTGACACCTCTTTCTGACCATTAGAGCCAATAGAATCGAAGGGGGGGGGGGGCTCCCTCTCACACACATGGTAAAAAAAAGGTGGGGGCTGCGCGCATGCAGTTTTGCATCAGAGCGAGCCTGTACTCTAGCTCTGACATCTGGAAACGGAAAAGCAGTTTTATTGCTTATGGATTATCAGAAATAATTTCAAAGAAGGCACAGACACATAGGATTAACCCATGGATTAACTGCAGCATCGTTTTTTTATCGTTTTAATGCCATTGAAGACCAGTTTTGACCAAGGTAAGCCATGTTAGCGTTTGTAGCTACTTAGCTCCACATGTTATGATGTACGCTTTCGTTTATAGCGTCGCAAATGTTTATCACTGAGTATTGAGGAGGGCACCGTTAGATTCAGTGTCTCCAGGACACCAAAAACGAGTGGTTGGCTGTGCATCTAGGATAAGTAATAAGGGAGTTATTGTGAGTTTAAGTGCCGTTTTAGGTTACATTTTTTCGCTCGTGGATAATTCAGAGGCTGAGTGTTAACATTGTGGGGTTTTTTTTGAGAAAAAAAATGTAAAAGATCAGTTAGCTGAGTCTCTTCCCGTTACATGGATATAAAACATTCATAGTTTTATTAAATATTAAGATTCCTTAGACGTTGTTTCCTGCAAATGACGCGTTTATCCGCCCGGTACCGGGGGGGGCCGTGCGTAACAGGTTAAGAGACGGATCACGTCAGTCGGATAATATCCACATGTCTTACTTTTATAATTTTATAATCATAAATCTAATCGATAGATTTATGATCGATAGATATTAGAGAAATTGCATTGCTTTTTTGTCGAAGGAACCCATGCACAGCTTACTTCCGGGTTTTAGGACGGTTTCACTGTGGCACTCTATGGTGCATACATCAACACAGTAAAGTAAGGAAGTTGTTTAAAAAAGAACAAATGTAGATAATGAAAAACTAATAAACTATGATAAAATAAAAGAGTAATGCTTACAAGACATTTGGATATAGAAAAAAGTACAATTGGCTGTCACAGACTAACAGAGAAGTCAATAAGTCAAGTGTGATGATGCATGGGAATATAAGCTGTCCAGCCTCGTGTGTTTAGCCCCTGATTATCTAATCTTTCTAATCAGTCATCAAAGTGCCAAAGTATCATTTTGAGTATCTTTTTTAGGTCTGAGTTTCCCTTTGCTACTTCCTTAACTCTCTTCAACCGCTCCTCCTCCCCATGCTCCCTCAGTTTACTCACAAAGTGTGCAAAGATAGTTAGCAGAGGTTGGGCATACTCTATCACACTCTTAGTGTCCTTTGGAAAATCGTAAACGTATCCTGAGGTGTGCAAACCAAAAACCTTGCACTGAGCATCAAACACTGGGGATCCAGACGAGCCGTGATACATGGAGGTGTTGTAGGTTGTTACTTTCTCTGCTCTATTTCCACCTACCAATATATTTTCAATGCCTTGATTTTTGATTTCATCGATTATGTGGACAACAAAAGCAGTGCCTTTGTATGGCTCTAAATGATCTTCAACAGCCTTCACCCTGTTTTCTATCTCAATGATAGATATTGGATCCAGTTTTTTCACTCCTCCACCTGGGTGACCAATGATACAGGCTTCACCACTCTTAGGCTTTGGACCAAACCTCTCCAGGAGCCCTGGTGGCACATTCTCTTCTGTGACTTCATTTGTTTCTGGGTTGTATTTGTGGCCGTCAGGCTCAAGCTGAAGTATGGCATAATCAAGCTCATCATGACAGTAGCAGATGTAACGGTGAGCCAGCTTAAAGTGTTTGACATTTATGTGCTGTTCTTCAAAGTTAAAGAGAACATACACCTCTGTACCATCTTTCAGCTTTTTGTTTCCTTCTCCTTCAACACAATTGTCAAACAGGTGTGCGTTAGTCAAGATGTAGTTGTCAAACAACACAAACCCTGTTCCTGTACAAACACCTTTAACAACCACTTTGCAAACTGACTCGCCCAGTGTTATCAGCTCTCTGAGTCTGTGAACGTCGCTGAACGACTGTTGGATCTTTCCAAAGTCTTCCTTCCTCAGGTCCAGTGTCTCCTGATAAGAATCACCTGGGAATCTCCTCATAATCGATTCATTCTGTTCTGCACACTGCTTCCGCAGTAAATCATCAATCTTGTCAAACTCGACACTCTTAGCACTCTTTCCCTCAAATTCGTTCTCTGCTGTGACACGATCCACAAAATCTTTGACACTCAATGTATTGTTTTCCATTGTTTTCAGGATGACGTCTATTCTCTTCTTTACTTCTTCTCTGACTTTTTTGTTACGCACAAGACACAACTTGAATTCTTTTCCATGCAGGTTATCAACAGGTTGGGTACATCCAGTGCTTTTCATTGGATCCTTGTTGTCAGACAGAGTGAAGTTTCCAAGATCATCAATGAAGCGTCCATCTCTTCTCAGAGCGTCCTCCACTGTCATACCCTTCTCCCCATACACACACAGATACTTGAACCTATTGAAAGCATGGCTTCTGATAAACTTCTTTGTTCTGGTGTTTTCTCCTCCCACTGTATCAATACAGAAGACAGAATACATTTCCTCTGACTGTATTGGTTCCTCATTTTGGACTTGGGTCTCTTCAGTCTTTTCTCTTCCATGCGATAAGATCAGACACACACCTTCCCTGATACAAGTACAAGGGAAATGTGTTGCAATAGCATATTCCCTATCCTTTTTACACAGCTGAATCACAAGGTTTTTATCTGAAAACCGCTTTTCATATTTGTGACATGTTTGTATCGCCTGCAGCACTGTTCCAGGTTGATCACAGTTTATAGCGTGTTCATTGCGGTCAGAAGGACTGAATTTCACTCTGAAGCTATGTGAATGTCCGGCCTGCAGGAAAACCAGAGAAAGAAAATTAGAGTAACATCTACTTGTTGATGAAATAAAAATGCAGAATGTTTGTATGTGCAGTGTATCACAGTTTACTCACAGTGGGAACAGCATCCTTCTCCTTCTTTATGCTCTTTGGTTTTGTACCAGTCTGCAACATGAGAAAAAAGATTCAGATGTATTGTTGTTACAGTAATGGACGTCACTCATCAAATCCATGTGTGAACAGATTTGACCTTAAAGGAGTTTTATTATTACTTATTTATGAAAATTAACCCTGCACAAGTTTTTGTGTAAGTTATCAAATATTTTCATTTAGTTTTTCTGTTGTTAAAATGCAGCCAGAATGTACTTCAATCATCAATCAGTTCCCCGTGTTTTGATTCTTTGTTTACTATAGAGGCATGTGAGAAAAACATATTTAAGAGTTCACGGTAACATGTGGTGAGAAATAATTTATACAAATGGACTTTTTGCCATTTCATAAAAAAGACAGTTGGACCCCAAATCGTTTTTGAAGCTAGCACCCTAGAAGAAAGTCCTGAATCGATTTGTTATCGTAACATCGGACCTGAGGCCGTATGTTTGGACACTCGGGTGAAGCTGTCACTGATCAGCATCTACAGACCCAGCAGTCTGCAGTGAACTGGTGGTCTCCTGAGAGCTCTGGTCACTCTTTTCAGCTAACGAGGAACTAACTCTCATGAGGCGCAGGATGCCTTAACTCTCACCTCAGATCCTGCAGCATCCTCCATGTTGGTCACCTTCTGCAGACCGTGCTCTGGATGAGGAGCAGTTCTGCTGAATAAACAAATGAATACATTAATGAAGGATCTATAAATACATGAACAAGATGAAAAAATAAGGTTTAATAAATAAGGTGCAATGAATGAGGTTAAATATACAACATGAAATATAAAGTTGAAATAAATATCAATAACTATAAAACTCAAGTTATATGAAAGTGATGCTCTTATAAGCCTCAAATTATTAAATATTGCATTTAATAATTGAGTAGCTATGTCTCATAAAACTGAATTGGTTATAATGCAATAGATTGACTCACTGCAGGACAAATGTTCAAGGTTCAAGGCTTTTATTTGTCATACGTGCATAGCTAGAGTGTAGTTATGACGATGAAAATCTTAGGTCACAGGCTCCTCCAACAGTGCAACACAATAAAACGGATAAACACAACAAAATAGTGCAAGTAATAAGTAAATACTGAGGAAAAATTGTAAAAAAAAGTGAAATAGTGAAATAGTGCAAGTGATTGGAATATGATATATGAGATAAATAATGTCTAAGTAGCAGCCAGATTAATGTTATGATGTTGTTTCAAGTTCTTGTGTTTAACAGTCTTCTGGCCTGTGGGATGAAACTGTCCCTGAGTCTGGTGGTTTTAGTCCTGATGCTGCGGCACCACCTGCCAGACGGAGCAGACAGAACATTTTGGACAGAATGTACTACTTGCACTATTTGTATTGTTTTATTGTTTTATTGTTTGTATATATTTATGTTGTATTGTTGGAGGAGCCTGGGACTAAAGAAGTTAACTGTATCTAAGCCTTTTAATCTTTGAAATAGAAATGAGCGTTCCCCAGAAGAACTGGAAGGTTCCAGAACGATTGCAGAAACTTACCAAACCGGTTCAGCGGCTCCTCTCTCTGTGTAGGGCGTTGCCAGGTAGAGCGCAAAGAGACGAACAGTCGACCGCCTACAACACGGAAATACATTTAAATACGTTTTAGTTCTCGACAACAACGAAATAAAAGTATATGTTGAATTTTTGACAGCAGGTCACATGTAAAGAAAGAAGGACATGCTTAAACCGCTGCCTAGTAAGTCATGTCCTCTATCTGCCCCTTTCATCCCTATGCATCTCTAAAGTCCATGGCTCAGTTAATAGGGACTTGGACCGTAGGGTTGCTGGTTCAAGTCCCCAAACAGACCATGGAGTTTGGACTGGTACTTGGAGAGTTCACCTCCTGCCCTTGAACAGGTTCTTTGGCAAGTGGAGGTTGTTAAAGCTGGTGACGCTATGCAAAGTAAGCAATTATGATTCAACCTGAAGTAATTACACGTAACACGATAATGTTGAAGCGTCCTAGCAGACAAACAGGCGCATTTCACTGTGTGTCTTTGTTAAAGAGGGTTTCATCCCCCGATTCTATCTATCTAAAGACCCTCTCTGACCTAAAAAAACAAAGAAAGATTGTAAGCATCTCACCTTGACTTTAGTAGACTCGCTCTGCCAAAGGGCTCCCTGTGATGTGGCAAGCAAGGGTGGCACAGTGGGAGTGTTTATCAGAACTATCGTCATATCTGATTTCACATGTTAGCAGGAAGACACGTCTGTGTGTCACACCCTGATTGGTTCATTTCAACACAAAGGAGGTCCAAATAAACAAATGTATACAAATAAACTAACCTTGAACCTTGAGAAGGAAAGACATGCGTTGTGTCTCAATGTGCGTACTTCTGTACTTCTGGTCACATTTCACAGAGAAAAAATCAGCAGGATTTTCTGGTCATGAATTAAAGTTAAAAAGGAAGAAGAATGATTTACAATAAAAATAAATAAATCAAAAAGTAAACAATATTTTTTTGTAAACATTAGAAATAACATTACAAATGGGCAAAACTAAATATTTATACAAGCATAAGAAGTTGAAGTGAAAACGTGCAATATAAAGATAAAGAATAATAAAATAAGATATAATGATGTATTCAAACAAGAAGTTCAATAAAAAATGTGCAATACAAATAAAAAATAAAAACTTTACATGTGTGAATGTTGAGAGGGATAAAGGTGGAAAGATAAATGGATGAAAGTCCTCAGAGGACAAACGATCAGTCCTGATCATTAATCTAAATTATATATTCTTTATTTAAAGTTTGCTTTTACAATGGAGCTGTTTATGTTTGTTAAATTAATAAACACACAAATAACTGTGAAGCACTTTGAACACACCTCTCTGTCTTACAATGTGCTATACAAATAAACTAAGCTTGAACCTTGAACCTTGAGAAGGAAAGACATACGTTGTGTCTTAATTTACGTACTCCTGTACTTAAACTAGCTCTTTAGAGTGCATAAGTCTTGGGGGGAGGATAAGCTAGTTATTGCTCTTGGACGGTCTTCAGGCACCGATCTAGGACTTGTATACAAGGGTGGGAGCGCGAGTCAAGGTGCACCACTGGGTTCCCCATTGGGGAGAGATCATATCCCTACCCCCTCTGAAACCTCTTTAATCCGGACTAAATTGAGCTGGATGAACTTTGCTGTCACGCTGGTGTTTATTATGAGTTCATGTTTGTTCGTCTAATTGCAGTGTGGTTTTTCTTGTACTAACCGCCGTCTTGTGCATGTTTTGTAACAACTAATAATGAATCAGTCCATAGCCAGGGTAAAATAAACTAAGCTTTAGTTAACTCACCAAAAGTAAATGACTTGAGAAAAATAAATAATATATAGTGTTTTGCAAAATTCTGGTAGTATAGATGTGCTGCAAAATGAAAATAAATAGCAAAAGAGTGTTTGTATGTCCTGCATCTGAGTGTGCAGAGGAAACGTAAACAAGAAGCACACTGTTCAGGGTGTGCGCTGTAGGTGTAAGAAGAAGAGAAGATTATATTATTTTAAGACTACATTCTTAAATGTAATGTATATAAATTGTATTGCTGGTATGTTAAGATATGTTTGTGACCTTTTATAAACCCTATGCCCCGTCCTGCACCCTGAGACCCTAAGAGGCATCACTGCTGGTCGTAAAGACCTGCCTGAGGAGGTCAGGGTTGCAAAATCTGTCTGCTCTTTTAGGTCAATGTTGTATTATTTGTTTCATTTATTCTTAAATATATGTATTGTATGGTAATAATGAAAAAAAACGTAATGTATTGAACACATTCCGAAACAAAGCTGATAAGACAGAACTTGACTCAGACATAATACAAATTATTGTTGAAACCTTTTGCGCTGTTGCTGCAAAATGGAAAATGTGTTGATTATCTATTCCAACTGGCCACTGGATTCAGATAATTAATATAAGTTGAAGTTTAATTACAGTTTTAAATATAGTTTAACATTCTTTAATAAACTGCTTCAAATGATTTCTCGTATCAACCAATTGGTCTCCATAGACATTACTACAATTATAATAGTTGTTAAACTACTGACAAGTTTTCTGAAACCGAGCTTATGAACAAAAGAGTAAAGGTCGCTGGTTAAGCCAGGATCAATATATTTGTTGACGTTTTCATTACAGTGTGCATAATAAATGTGTTAAATGAATTGAGCAATTCTTTAAAAAGTATAATGTTGCAATCTCTTTACAATAAGTAATTACAGTTAACAAAGAAGTAGAGGTTGTTTTCCAAGGGCCTCTCCTTCACAGCCCTACACTTTAAATCATGAGACTTTCAAATCATAACAGACAGAGATCGGTATCACTTTGTGTTGCAAGCCAAATCCATGTAAAGGTTCTACTTGAGCCCAATTTAAATACCATAAAGAAAGTATTGAACCCAGCTCAAGCTAAATGTCAAATGTATTTAATTAAGGTGCAAGTGTTTTGATTTATTTAAAATGTTCTAATCTCAGCTTCTTTCGAGTTCAGTCGAAGCAACAAATTGTTTCTCATAACATTCTCACTGCTGTCCCAAATGTTTTAACCTTGGGCAGACAAGCTGTTCACACACCCACACACACACACCCACACACTTTGGATAAGTAGTCACCTTATCCACATTGTAAATTGTTGCCTTCTTTAAAGTTATTAGTAATTTAAGATTAATTATTAAATTAAATGTGGTACATAAGATAAAATAACTTGACTTGATCATTTTGTTCACAACATTAGACCTGTCCTCTAATCTCTACTAGAATAAGATACGTGTGCATGTTTGGATGTTTTAACACTCCTGTAATGTACCTAATCTTGATATCCTTTTCATTACAGAGCTGGGAAAATGGTGTATTGATTAGATTCTGATCCGTGCACGTCCAATTTTGACTGACTTTAGTTCTAATGTTAATGTTAATTTGACTTCAACCCATAAGTCATTCTTTAAATTAACTCAAAATGTCACATGATGATGGATTAGTGTTCCACATTTCTTCCACTAATTTGTTTTACAATTAGGCCAAAGGTAAAGAGAGACATTGATGACCTTGTGTCCCTTTTGTTAGTACGTGGTTCCATTTTGTCTATGACCTTGGACGGCTTCACTAAAAGTCACCCAGTTCTGCCCTGCTGCAGTCCGGCTGAGTGCAGTCACAGAGATGCTATGGCTGCTCTACATGACATTAATGGTCTGGTCTGAATGGACACCATTTCCTGCTCCCAGAGAGAATGACACTCCTCAAACTGAACATTACAGCTGTTGATACTGTCTCACATGGGTCTGCTCACTTGGAAGCCTCCCTGTCACACCAGCACCAACCCTTGGGTCAGTCAGATGAGACTAACGGCTTCACTTAGGGCATTTGGTTCGGATACATGACTCTCGTTACCGCAGAGTGGGTTGTTTTTAAGGCTATTCATACTGCTATGGAGAGGATGCCTGTAAGTTGGCGAGCTGGTAAAAGCCCCTACTATTGTTCAAATAGGCCTAATGTCAGGGGCCTCTGTATTCACATTGTATAGACAATGTTTCCACCTGGTAAAACTGAAGGCTGCACGAAACTGAGGCTACAATACAACCATTCTGTTCTGCTCTAACAATTCAATTTATAGATTGTACATCAAAACAATTAGCTTTTATTGTTTCCAATGATAACGTCACCTTAAGTGGAGGAATGCAAACCTGTTTTCAAATGTAAGGTTTTGATTTTGTTTGACATTTCTCAGTAATGACACCCTCAGACACCCAATATCATTCATGCTATGCCTTCAGTAATAACTCAGATGTTAAAGGGATGAAACTTTTCCTCCCAAATCAGATATGCTTTGTTTTTCAACAAATGTATCCATTTCCTGCATAATATATGTTTATCACAATGGTTTTTGTAAGCTGCACACAGGTGATACTGAGTCTTCTCGATTAATAGATTATAAACTATACCATGCTTAAATAGACTTCTAAGTTATTATTTCATATGTACCATATGTAAGAAGAGGGAGGGAAGAGTCAATTATATTGAGTAATTGATTTTATATTGGGTAATTTATTTCTCAAACCTATGTTTTATGGAAGAGACTAAATATTTCTGATAAACTAATATTTTATCAAAAGGTAAATGGTGAATTAATATACATTTAGAATCATTGAGAAGGGGTTATATCCACAGGGACAAGCTCACCTTTAACTTACAATAACATGTCTCTGCTATGGACTGATGAGTATATGATTCTTGCATGTTCAATGACTAACACAAACCTTCAAAATGATAATGTGCATGTGTCAGGAAGGCTCCCAAATCATTCTGAGGGGCCTATTTTTTGTAATTAAATGATAATGTGCTAATCCATTACTTTGAGTTGTCTTCACTCAGAAAAACATCCCTATCAGGTGTTAACCCAATAACTAGGACATCTCTCAAGGCCAAGGGTCAGAGAGAGAGGGTCACACTCTCCGGGTGCAGAGAGCACCCCCAGCCACGTGCAAGGAAGCACGAGGTCGTTCGAGATGGGATGCGGTTTTCTATAATACAAGGTTCCATGTTTCTTGGAGGAGTTTGATGTCTTCCTAACCTCTCCCATCACGGGGGGGACACCTGGATGCATCAGGAATACGCAGTTGTACTCAAGCAGATAGCAGAAGGAATACCGGCAGACGAGCCTCCGTCTCACTGGGGCATCAACTACAGTGCTCACTGAATGAGCCACACAAAAGCAGAGCAATTGGGGGGTTGAAATATGGCGCTCTGATGAAGAAGAGTTTGAGCCAATCAGCACCTCAGTGCTAATCTACAGTATCAGGATGCCTTTACACACCAGACACTCGGTGTCATAAAGGGAGGAGGAGAACGAAGACTGACGGACATGTTCTTCCAGCTCTCGTACAAAGATGAACTTTGAATTGAATAACCAGATGTTTAAAGATGTAAAATTAATGATTGGTCTTTATATTTCCAATGACCAGACATGTGTTAAATAGTGGTGATAAATATATTTTGTCAGATCAGATTACACTTTCACACTAAACAAAATTAATAAATAAATATTTTCAGATTATAAGGTATTGAATAATAAGGTATTTCTAATATTATAACAGATCATGTTAATATCCTTAATCATCCAGCAATCAGGCTTAACAACACTACTCTTTAATGTATTACCCATGCACAGACAGACATAACATGATGTTTCAAGGACTGGATTAATTTCAGTTTT